AAAATAATACGTTTATGAAGGTAAGCAATTATTTATTCAACAGAGCCTTATGGTAGCCATTGACTTCCATAGTATGGAAAAAAAACACTATGGAATTCAACTGCTACCGTCAACTGTTTGTGTACCAACATTCTTCAAAGTATCTTTTTTTGTGTTCAGCAGAAGAAAGCAACTCATACAGTTTTGGAACAACTTGAGGGAGAGTAAATGATGACAGAATTTAAATTTTTTTGGATGAACTACCCCTTTTAACTAAAGTACAATCCATTGAACACACTGTACTTCCATCCCTCACAGCCTCGTTTTTATTCCTCTAAAACTTTAAATATGGCGCCAGCCTGACTCTATTTATGCCTCCATTGCTTTACAAGTAGAAAGTGCTAAAATGGGACCAATTTGGCTGTCATGGTTAATTCAAATTTAATTTAATTCAAATAAATGTTGGCGATTACAATCAAAGCATTACAAAAAGATGCTTGAGACAAAACAGCATGTGTTTTTATTTATGTTTAGGCTAGTGTAAAGGCCTGTTGAACAAGCGAGCAGTCGGTGCTTCTTGATGATTCACAGGAGAGTTACACAGAGGGCTGATTTAAGCATGGAGAAATGTGCTGAGCTTCAGTTCATGAAAGCCAAAACCAACAAATCACTAAATAGAACCGCCTTCTCTGCCTTCACAGGGTACTTTCCCACTACACCCGCTCAAGCACATGTTTCGTACTTATGTTATGAGCCCATGTCTATACAGATAACACCCCAAAGGAGATATTTACATCTGACAACACAGGGAATCACCAATAAAAGTTTCAACATATGGAAGTGTTTTATCACATTTCATCAACTTGCATTTTGGCGCCACTGTGTTTTGGATTGTGCACTGACATAAAGATTTCTGCCTGGATTACATTTTACATTTGAACTCCTTTACAGTAGTAATTACAGAAATTGATATCACATAACCTCAACGCAAGTATTTTAACCCCTTTGCTGTCACCCCCCATTTTCGGCATGGAGACACAAATGACATACCCAAAATGGTTGCTGCTCATGAGTCTTTCTGACTAGATACATAATCAACAGGTTCACAAAGCTGACACTTTTACTGTTCAAGAATCAGAATTACTCAGACTGCTATGATAATAGAGATATATAAGCTCAAACATAAAAACAAAAATAAAAATAATAATTTTTTTAAATGTATATAAAAATACATATGTTGCTGTGGTAAATGCTTTTAAAAATACAATGAAGCTAAAGCCACAAGTCTACTAATGCTTCATTTCAAATTTCAGGACATAATCTCCAAAACTATTAATTTTATGAAACATTTTCTAAGACCATGTCATGTGTGTTTTTAGAGAAGGCTAATAAAATTGATTTATGGCCCCCTGTAAGCTCTCCTGCATGTTATTATCTCATGTCTGGCCCGGCAAACTGCCCCATTCGTGATTTTATTGTTCTCACTCGACGAACCTTTCACACCTCTGCTAGGTATGACACATAATCCTCATTATTCCTTTATCATTATTCTTTTGTTTTTATTCAGCCATTATAGCCTTTATTCTGTCATTACAAGGTTTACCAAGCCATAAATTGCTTCAATCCCAGTATACATTTACCCAACTATTATCAAAAGTATTTCTAAAAAAATTCAACAAAACATTTTCTTATGACCTTACATGAATTATTATGACAAAATGCATTATGAAGAAGAACTGCACCTGTTCTGCAGCTGCATTAGAGCTAACATTAGCATCAAGCTACATAAGACAATTTATGAGATTATTACTACACTTTTACTCAAAACTCACTTTAAACCACCATCGAGTGTTTGTAATAACTTCCAAACGTTTGTAATGTGGAATTTGGTCATTTACTGTTGTTAAAATATGCTTTTTATAGCCTTTTATATTGCTGCACAAATTAGCATTTCAGATGTACACATTCTTTATTGTTATGAAAATACCCCAAATCTCAAGAAAATCACATACAAACCATATCCTATCGTAATCATGTTTATTATCTTTATTCTTTGTGTGTAAAAGTGTTTATCTGGGTTTGTTATGGTCAGAAATGAACGTGGAAGAGCACGGGAAGTCCATCACAGGATGAGACAGGGTGGGATGTGATGTGCAATATGATTGACATTTCACCAGCAAATCGGCTTTCTCGGACTCATACTACGACCACGGAAGAGTATAACACACAGATACAGCGCTGGGAAGTGCTAATGCTAATGAAATCACCTAAATCAGTGGAAAATAAATAGAAATTATGATTCTGTCTGAAGAAATATGAAGTAAACGTGTAAATATATCTATATATCTCCATGTATATGCATCGTTGGACTATAAGCCCTTATTGATGCTGTTCAGTGAAGCTATGTGAACACAAATAAACCGCTGCAGACGTGACTGAATATTAATGCGTGGTGAATTTCTATTCCAAATATGACATATACGGATTTATTATTTTGCACTCCTGACATAAATTACTGAGATTAATAAGTCACTGCAACAATGTTTTATCAAAACTGGTAAAATATCGAAGCTAGAGTCTTTAATATTTCTACTGATGCACAGTTTGTCCAGATCAAGTAAGAGTGTGATGTTTTAACATGCTTTTAAAGTGAAACAACAATAATCTGAGGCCATCGCCGATCTTTGTCAGTTAAGGGCTTAATTATGGTAACTGCAAAATCATGGTTACCAAATAAAATACACTAACCAATTTCGGAAGGATTTTGTGACACTGAAGAATGGAGTAATGGCTGCTGAAAATTCAGCTTTGCCATCACAATAATAAATTGCAATTTAAAATATATTCAATATTCACAATATTACTGTTTTTACTGTATTTTTGCTCAAATAAATACAGACTTGATGAACATAACAGGCCTCTTTCAAAAACATTTTAAAAAATTCAATTATTCCTAACTTTTGACCAGTATTTTAGATAGCTGGTAAAGGTGCATTTCCCACAGATTTGTGCTAGGTCTTTAGGGTTTCCAAAAAAAAAAGTGGTGTGGTTCCTTTCTTTGCCGCATGATCTCAGTCTCACACAGAAGTTGCTGCACCATTCCTAATACCTGCTTAGACATGTCACGAACAAGATAAAATACAAGATGTCATAAAGGCATACATAGTGGAGTGGGTTGAATGACACCAAGTAACAGAAAATAAATAGATATTACATAGCAACTGTGCTATGCAATACTCTTCAGAACTGTGTGTTCATCATGTCAGCACATATAATGTCATTTTGACATCTATTTATTCTAGAACTGCTGAATAATATCATATTCTATAATGAAAGGGTTTTGTTATTGTAAGAACAAATGTCTTGCTGCTTTTGTTGACTCACCAAGCTGACATTTTTGAGATACTAAATAATTACACATTTGCAATATTACATTACACACTGGGTTTAACCAAGTGTAAGTGTGAGTCTTATGTCATAGTAAAGGCATTGATTTATTGAGATCACTCCTGAACCCCCAGGAGAGTATGGAACAGATTAAAAAAGATAGTAAACACTATCTGCGAGTCGTGTGAGATTTCATGGCTGAATTGCTTGTCTGTGCCAGATGACCCCAGTTCATTATCATTGCTCTTGGTGTTCCCCATAGATACTGTTGAATAAATCAGGTCTGACCTGTATATCTTGGGGCGTATAGCCTAGTGCTTAAAAGATCGAGGCTAGTAAGCAAAAGATTGTGGGTTCAAGCCCCACAAGGGGTGATCTATGAACCATTAGCATTGCTGAACTGAGACACTTAACCCCAGGTTGCTCTAAGGGGACAGTCCATGCTGTGTCTGTCATGTAAGAAATTAGTTATAGACTATATAAAAATTAACCACACTAACATTATTCAGCATACATTCACAAACTCCGTTTACAACCTTAAAGGGGTAGTTAATCTAAAAATGAAATTTATCTAGTAACGTTCATCTAGATAACTTTGAATGAACGTTCCTTTAACGTTACTGCAAGAATGTTTGTTCAGAACTTGGGTAGAATATCCAAAAAGAAACAATGTAGCACAGGGATTTGGTGTTGATTGGAGTTTGAGATGTGGCCTAATGGTTAGAGAGTCGGACTCGTAACCCAAAGGTTGCGGGTTTGAGTCTCGTACCGGCGAGGTTGTAGGTGGGGGGGAGTGAATGTACAGCGCTCTCTCCCACCTTCAATACCACGACTGAGGTGCCCTTGAGCAAGGCACCGAACCCCCAACTGCTCCCCTGCACTAACTGCATAAATGGCTGCTGTGTGTGTGCACTAAGGATGGGTTAAATGCAGAGCACTAATTCCAAGTATGGCTCACCATACTTCGCCACATGTCACGTCACAGTATTTTGATTTAAAGTATGCATGGATGAATGATTCACATTAAGATCTATAAAAAGGCATTTACTTTAAATGCTTCCCACCTTGCAACACGGACATCCAGCCTGGCAAGAGTTGAAGGTGGATGTTGTGATGTAGGAAGAGAAGGTCGGGGTCGCGCTCACGTTTGGGAGCGCAGCAGCGCTGGCCCCGCCCCCGTGTGACGTCGAAGGCGCCTCACCAACTGTCACCTGTAGGATCTCCTGGATCTGTGTCAACTCTTGCCTCAGCACCTGCTTTTGATAAAAACTAAAGGCGGGATGGTTCGAAGCCATGGTGAAGAGGAGCAAAAACTGCTCTCCCGTCTGGCCATCGTTAAGCTGAAGTCCGTAGTTATTAATGATGGTGTCGATATGGGTGAGGGTCCGAAACAAAACTCCCGCCGCTACGCGGTTGTCCGAGCTGAGGATCGCGAGAGAGACGAGCAGCTTGCTCCTCACGACCTCATCCGTGATGTTGGTCAAGTTGGCGAGGTCAGCCGGGTTGTTGGCTTTGATTTCTGCATCCCTCAGAGAGTGGTAGTCTTTTCGGGCTAGGTCTTCCAAACATGAACCGAGGAAGCGTAGCTCAATGGGAACGCAGAGGTCCAAAAGGCCGCAAAGGAACTCAGCCCTCTGCGCCGAACTCAACACGGAGAACCAGCGGTAAACCTCCTCTCTCTGAACAAAGCATCTGTTTTCAACCATCTTAGCCAGCACTCATAAAATGCATCAGATAATAAAAACAAAGTTCATAAAGCAACGGTTGATGGCCTTTACAAACTTCCAAATCATTCACTGACGTAAACATCCATGCACTTATAGGCAGTGGTGAGTCTGAGCGTCTCAGAACCCCTACAAGAAGACATACTACATAGTTTCCTTCGCGTTTTATATGCCTGCAAATGCATTATCTCGTCAAAGCCTATTAGGATATTAAAGAAACAACTTGTGTTTACTGTAATCCCAAACGCGCGGCGGCGCAGCCCCTCTGCCTTTGTCCATATGATACTATCGCAATTGCTGTACACGCTCAAAGGAACCGTCGTCGGGCAATAAACATTTTGTGTGGAAAACTCCCCAATTGTAACAGTTTTGAGTGGTCGAATGGACGTCAGTATAACCGTATATTCCTTCGTCGGACGCCGAAGTAACGTTTTTTATGTTTAAAAAAAAAACGTGACACTTTATCCGCTGCTTTATTTGCTTTCACGCGAGTGAATTAATCAACGGTTTCGTTGCCTATCATTATCCTGTCGTGAAGTCGAGTAAGACAAACTGAGTGTAGTTCACTATCCATTCCCGAACTTCACGCAAACCCCGCCCACGGTTGAATTTCATTGAATGAACAGCTTGTCAGTAATCATATTCTGCGCTGTGATTGGCCAGAGCGACATTCTTGTGTATCTCTCAAGCGCCTGCAGTCATATTTGATGTGGACAGTAAAATATTGTACGATTTAATGCGATAGGGTACATTAACTTAACTGAACAATCCGTAACTGATTTTTAAACATAAGGTACATTTATTTAAATGTTATAAAATAGTATGAATTATTACTCTGGTGATGATAGTACAGGAAAAAAACGTTTTTGAAGTATGCCTTTGGCTGTAGGCAAATATTGGAAACCTCTGGTTTTGTCATTTAATTACGTCAACGTTTCCCGAAGATGGCGTCAATTGTCCCAGGGCTCAATCAGGAACCAAGTCTTATAAATATTCTCACCAAATCTAACGGATTCATATTTTCTCAAATACTTTTCTCTTTGTCCTGTTTGTCTGGAAAATACCATTACCGAGGTCGTTTACAAATTGAACGTGCAGCTGTTGATCTTAAAGATCTTAATCGCTGGCAAACGATATGATGCATTTTAGACTAGTTTTCAATGGATTGCAGATAAATATTCCTCGTTTCCAGCGTTTATGTCCTTGTTTATTAGATATTATAAACCAAATTAACAATACTTTTACAGTATGTATTGTTAAGCTAGGTACGTGTTAATTTCTACATACACTGATTACTTTTAACATTTCAAGTTCTATAAATTGTATTACAATATGAAAAAAATTAACAATGAATAATAGTATATTTATAAATGAACATTAACAGATTAATAAATGACGTACAAAAACTTTATTTTTAGTTCGCAACACCTATTTAAGAAGCACCGACAGAAAATATGAAAAGCCCCTACTGTAAGATGAGTAAACAACTATACCCTAATAAATGTACAGTGCTGGCAAATTAAACTGTTGCTGATCATAAATGAACACTAGAGGGAGCAACTGGCTCTCACTGTGACTTGTGAATGAAATTTATAAACAATTTGATGCACAAGCAAAAGTGGCGGATGTTCAGATTTAAAGCTTTAGAAATATATGAATCCAGTACTACTCCAACTGGCTGGGTGCAAAAAAAAAAAAAAACAAAACACA